TGGGCGCGCTCCGTTGAAGATGCAGTCATTGCGGTGCTTCCATATCATCCAGGGGACGAGGAGGGTCACGGTACCGAGGCCCTTGCGCATGGGCGTTGGGGTGGAGTGTCGCGCCGATTGCCACCAGTCCAGAAGCGAGGGCTCGTCGTCTGGTGGGGTGCATGGGATCCGTAGCCAACTTAGTGTCTCGTGCCAAGTCTGCCGGGCTAAGGGGCATGCGAGGATGAGGTGGTGCATGGTTTCAGGCGCCTGGTCGCAGAGGGGGCACCGTGCGGGGTGTTGCAGTCCACGGCGAGCGAGCCGGTCTGCGGTCCAACACCTGTCGAGGTGGGCGAGCCAGTGGAAGAAACGGACGCGCTGCGGCGCCCAGTTTTTCCAGGTGAGCTTCCAGGCGGACTAGCAGTTCTATTGACTTTCATTTAGTTCCCAAAACTCCAAAACTGTTCATTTCTATATTATTTTCCCCTCATTTATTTGCCTGCATGTTTTTCTACATTAATTGTCCAAAGTAGGTCGAGTTTACCATCGTGAGCAAATGGTACGTCCTGATCTACCTCCTCCGCTTGAAAGTTGCAAACCATGTCTTATTCATTTGCCAAGGTCTACCTGCCTATTTTTTATCAGTTGGGTTCAGGATGAATTGGCCCAAATAATAATAATGAACTGGTTGGCTGGTTGCTCTAATGGATCCTTCGACATGTGCCAGGTCAGGCTTGATCTGAATTGCCAGGCCGTTAAAATGCCTCCTATCTTGTATGGCTTGGACTCAGCAAAATGTCAAATGTGTACAAGGTACTACAAATAATGAATGTGTACAAGGTACTACCATATTTCTAGAGGATGGGGAAAAGAGGGTCAGTTTACAGCTAAATTTGAGTAAATTATTAATATGCAATGTGTATCAAATGGATATTGTTTTGTCATTGGGTGTAAGGACACGATGAAGGCAAAATAGGGTGGGGGGTGGGGTTCCCACTGCATACTTTTAGCATTTCTAGTGGGTGATCCTCTAGATCGTTGGATATCTCCATGCCTCTCTGAATATAGTGGCAGTGCAATACAGTTAGGAGGGTTTTCATTGTTCTATGAGGTGACACAACAATATCTAACAAAGTTCTGTTACAGGAGATTGCTTGTCAGAAAAGCCGAAAAGGTGCACATAACATGGAACCAGCATGCGACATACAGTAGATAAAGCCTTTTTGCCAGTTAGGATTGTCTACTTGACCCTGGATTTCGTGATAACTGGCTAATGCACGACTTGGAACCACAAACATGGACCACTTGCTGCACTGGCATTTGTCAACATGATTATCAATCTTACTGCTTACAAAACAATCTAATTCTAATACAATCTGCAAAATGCATTTGATTTATTTGTAGATCCATGAGCAAGTAATGTGGCAAGGAAGCATTGGTTCACGAGCAAGTAATGTAGCAGACGAGTATCCACTTCGAAAAGAAGATTGGAACTCCATAGGCCTTTATTTGTCATAACTGGGAGAACGAGAGCTGGATTTTCAGCGCCTCCTGGCAGCAGTCTCCCTCTGACAGTTGAAGTAGACAGCTGCCACAGGGAGGCCGAGGTCATTCTCCGCAGCAAACTGACGGGTGTTGAAATGATCCCTGAAGGAAGGCACAGTTACAGTCTGCCTTCGCTTCTGCTTGAAGAGCACAAAAATGAACCTGTGGATGCCTATGTTGGGTTTTGGGCTCTCATAGCTTATGACTTCCCGTCCTGCAGTTGGAAAGTTGGATGGTTATTTATCAAAATGCAGAACATGGAATAGACCAATTCAAATCTGTTCGAAAGGACCTACCAAAAGAAGCATCTGTTGTCCCAGGTATATCAGTAACAATCCTGTAAGCGTAACATATGACAAAATGGCTCCCATTAGAAGTCTTCAGAAAACAGTCTTCTTCATATAAAGGCAATACGGAGATGTGCTGCTATCTAGCAACATATACTAATTTCTAGTTGATCGTGGCCACCCAGCAGAAAGAAATGTGCAGAAGAAAGATTACCAGTGAAGGTGCTCCCTTAGATATGGATCACTTGGCCCTGGCACATCAGGGTCTGTCATAACCTGAAATATATGAATAATTGTGGCCATTAGGAAGAAAAAACAAGTATATAATACTCAAGAGTTGAATATGGAGTTCCCGGATTGAATTAAATGCACTTACCAGTGTGAACAAGGATCGCAAGTCACCCCCTTGGACCTCTACTCGTGGTTTAGATACAACCGCTGATGGGTAGAGCTCATGGCCATTGAAGACAAGCTTGTTGGAGTTATAGGTCGTTACCATCTTCACACATGGGTTAAATGTATCAAGAACTTCTCCAATCACCCGCCCCACAATAAGAGGTTCCACAGACCTAGACATGGTTGCAAGGGGAGGGAGGTATTTTGGTCTTGCACGGTAAATGCTCTGTCTGGTTGTTGCGAAGCTAATATACTTCGATGTGCCTTGAGCTGCTTATTGGGCAATGCTAGAGTATGAGTGTCTATTTATAGTGGCAAGAACGCTGCTTCTTCAAGTGTGAGACATGAGTAGTATGTGTGTTCTTTTTTAGTTGGGTATGCGTGGAAAGAACTGAAAAGGCCACACAGAGGATCTAACCACTTTTTCCAAGACAGCCAACCAAAGGCCTTGTTTCTTCTCGAACAGTTGCACACAGAATCTGTACAAGTAATACTTCATGTGTCTTCTTTTAAGTTCTAGGGATAATAACTATTTTTTACTAGAATCATGAGGTATCAATGATGATAAGTACAAATATGCACACTTGTTTTATCTTCGTTTGTTGGTACATCTCTTCAGTTCTTCTGTTTGGTATTGGTATTAATATACTAGATAAAATAATAATATATTTGTCTTGATTGAAATGAAAAATAATAATTAAAGCTGATGGTTTACCACTGTTGAGTTCTCTGAAAAGGTATTAAATCACTACCTCCATGTTATTTCTTTCGGAAACATTAGACACCTTCATGCAAGTGGGTCTCTGAAGATTATGTCGCTGACTATCTTATGTTGTACTTAACAGTTTTTTTTTTTTGCAAGAGTACAGCAGAATATTTGGTTTTGCAAGTGGTGCTTAGTTTTGCACATTGTCATTTTGTCATCTATCATTAGTATTTCCAAAATGTTATCAAAGGAACATTTCGCAAATTTGCAGTCACATTGCACTAAATCTGTTTTTTTGGAGAGCACACCAAAAATACCTTAGTCACAAAAATACATCTAGATGCAATTGTCTGCAGCAAGGGAAGTAGGCCCTTGTGGAGAAAATGGAAAAGGAAGGGAACAAAACACTTTGGAATGATGCTTTTCTAAACTATCAATTCAGTTTTGCATACTTGATTTGATGTTTACATAAATTTATGGTCTGGCTTTCTGATATTCCGCTCTCTAACTATTATTTTTGAGTTATCTAGTGGAGACAAACATGCGGCAGTGCCCACGTGGAAGCCTCTTCACCCTCAAATGCTCGTCTTTGCTGCGTTGGTTGTTTAGGTAAGCCTCATTTAACTGTTTCTTTTTCTGTTAAGGAAAAGAAAAGTTGTTGATGAGTTTAATTGCTGCTGGAATTAGAATCTTTCCTAAAACTGGCGATACCAACAGCATTACCATTATTAGCTGTTTATTCTCTTCTTTGGAGTAGTAAGGGAACACACCATGGAAGAGAATAAAGCAATGGAATGCTGTGCAGCCACCACTTCATTGTGTAGGGTGCTCTCTAGTGCCAAGATGTCATCTCAATGATAAAATTGCCAGTCATCTTGATTGAGGCATTAAAATTGTATTTTTCTACATTTCCATAAGTAGTGGAGCCAAGTACAGCTTTATGCGTTACTATGTTCTGGTCTAGTGCCATCATGCCTGCTTGACATTTGTGCAGGGAGTAGTGGAGTCAAGTACAGCGTGTGAAATTTTTCTGCTCCGTTCTGATTCCATGTTGGTTTCTCGACACCTAGGCCTAGGTCAAGTAGTGGAATCGAATAGCTATTCCAACCAGTGGTAATCGTTTTCTCTCCATGAAATAAATCCCAGCAGCATATTTTTTTGGTAGATGCATCATGGTCACTGGTTCTGGTTAGTTGTTTCCCCACTTCTAATTATTTTTCACTGAATTTCACGCTATTCTTCATCGAAAAAGGATTACTTGAAAAATGGGTCAAATCTGCATATGGCTAGCATATACCCATTTGCATGGAAGGAAAAGCAATACTGAGCACCTGCCAAAAGATGTTCATAGAGACCTACGACGTACAAGTTTTGTTTGGTATGCTGACAGACAGGACAGCATGCAGAAGCACTTGGACAAGTTGCGATTGGAGATTGTGGAGTCCAAGTCGATGAAGAGAAGATAGTGCACAGAGAGTCCAAGACTCTAGGGAAAAGGAGGAGAATATTAGGGAAAATAAATTTGGAAATCCCGTTGTTTATTATTCTTGGAGGAAACCCATTGTACTACTACCTCCATCCCAAAATAAGTATCTCAACTTTAGTGCAACTTGTTCTAAAGTTAGAACAAACTTGAGACATTTATTTTGGGACAGAGGGAGTATTAGGTAAGGTCTAACTAAGGACCCTAATTGTGTTAGGAAAGGTCAAGGGCTTCAGCATCCACTTTTATAAAGATGCGATGCATGTACTCCCTCCGTTTCTTTTTACTCCGCATATAAAATTTGGTCAAAGTCAAACTACACAAAGTTTGACCAAATTTATATAAAAAATATGAACATCTACAATACTAAAACTATATAGTATTTTCAGTTTGACCAAATTTATATAAAAAATATGAACATCTACAATACTAAAACTATATAGTATGAAAATACGTTTCATGGTGCATCTGATAATATTGATTTCATATTGTGAATGTTTATATTTTTTAATATAAAGTTAGTCAAACTTTACAAAGCTTGACTTTGACCAAACCTTATATACGGACTAAAAAGAAATGGAGGGAGTATCTTCTACTTCCTCTGTAAAGAAATATAAAAATATTAAATTAGTGAAGAAGAAAGGTCTCCTCCATTTACTATCTTGCAAATCCATGCTAACTAGTCCTAATCTCGCCAACTGTGGATTGTTTTTTCAAAGGAGCCCAAGCTCTATATTAATCATCATCATCATCAACAACAACAACAACAACAAAATCTTTAGTCTCAAACAAGTTGGGGTAAGTTAGAGTTGAAACCTGTAAGATGTCGCGATCAACTAATGATTCTGGCACATGAATAGCATGCTCCCATGCACCCCTGTCCATAGCTAGTTCTTTGGTGATACTTCAATCCTTCAGATCTCTCTTTACGAAATCCTATTATGTCAAATTCGGTCTACTCCGACCTCTGTTAACAATATCCACACGCTTTAGCCGTTCGCTATGCACTGGAGTTTCTAGAGGCCTGCGCTGAATATGCCCAAACCTTCCCAGACGATGTTGGACAAGCTTCTCTCCAATTGGTGCTACCCCTACTCTATCTTGTATATCATCATTCCAGACTCGATCCTTTCTCATGTGGCCACACATTCACCTCAACGTGCGCATCTCCGCTACACCTAACTGTTGAACATGTCGCCTTTTACTCGGCCAACACTCAGCGCCATACAACACTGCGGGTCGAACCGCCATCCTGTAGAACTTATTTTTTTTATTTTTGCCGTCACTCTCTTGTCACAGAGAATGCCAGAAACTTGGTGCCACTTCATCCATCCGGCTTTGATGTGATGGTTCACATCTTCATCAATACCTTCATCCATCTGCAACATTGATCTCAAATATCGAAAGGTGTCCTTCCGAGGCACCACCTGCCTATCAAGGCTAATCTCCTCCTCCTCGCGCCTATTAGTACTGAAACCGCACCTCATGTACTCTGTTTTGGTTCTACTAAGCCTAAAACCTTTCAATTCCAAGGTTTGTCTCCATAACTCTAACTTTCTATTGATCCCCGTCTGACGATCGTCAACTAGCACGACATCATTCGCAAAGAGCATACACCATGGGATATCTCCTTGCATATCCCTTGTGACCTCATCCATCACCAAGGCAAAAATATAAGGGCGCAAAGCTGACCCTGATGCAGTCATACCTTAATCGAGAAGTCATCAGTGTTGACATCACTTGCTTGAACACTTGTCACAACATTATCATACATGTCCTTGATAAGGGTAATGTACTTTGCCGGGACTTTGTGTTTCTCCAAGGCCCACCACATGACACTCCGCTGTATCTTATTATAGGCATTCTCCAAGTCAATGAACACCATATGCAAGTCCTTCTTTTGCTCCCTGTACCTCTTCATAAGTTATTGTACCAAGAAAATGGCTTCCATGGCCGACCTCCCAGGCATGAAACCAAACTGATTTTTGGTCATGCTTGTCGTTCTTCTTAAGAGGTGCTCAATGACTCTCTCTCCCATAGCTTCATTGTATGGCTCATCAGCTTAATTCCACGGTCATTAGTACAACTCTGAACACCCCCCTTGTTCTTCAAGATTGATACTAATATACTGATGGAGAACGTTGCATGAAAAAACAATCCTATGAACACCCAAGATCTAATCTAGGAGATGCATATTAATAAGAGAGGAGTGTGTCTACATACCCTTTTAGACCGAAAGCGGAAGCATACAAAATGCGGTTGGTGTAGTCGTACTCTTCACGATCCGATCACGATCCAAACCGATCTAGCGCCGAACAGATGACACCTCCGAGTTTAGCACACGTGCGGCTTGATGACGTCTCCCACTCCTTGATCCAGCAAGTGAGGGCAGAGATGTAGATGGGATCACAACCAGCACAACGGCATGGTGGTGGAATTCCAGCAGCGCTTCGCTAAGTGAAAAATCGGGGACGAGGATTATGTCGTGAGGGAGAAAGGGGGCAGCAGCCAAGTCCAATCTCTTGGGGGGCTTTGCTGCGCCCCTTTCCCTTTATTTATATGCGTGGGAGGGCTAGGAGTCCAGCCCCTCCACCCCATATGGATGGCGCACCAAGGGGGAAGAGTTGGACTCCTAGTCCTTCTCCCCTTCCATGTACGGAGCTAGGACTCTTTCCCCCGTGGCTGCATGGGTCTTTGGGGCTGATGCACCCATCCCAAAGAGGCCAGAGCACCTCCCCTTAGCCCATGCTAGCCCTCGGGACATGGTGGACCCACTTGTGGACCCTCCAGAATCCTTCAGAAGTTTCTCGGTACAATACTAAAAAACCCGCCTTTTTCGGAATCCCCAAAAATGACTTTCCATACATAAATCTTTACCCCCAGGCTATTCTGGAGCTCCTCGTGATATCCAGGATCTCATCCGAGACTTTGAACAACTTTTGGTCACCAATAGAGATATCCAAATTCTACTCTAGCATCATCAAATGTTAAG